AAGAAAATGTGGGAGCCTCGACGTCTCACAACCCTACGGGCCTTCACGGTCTGTTACAATGATAGCTTTACCTTTCTTTTACATGTAAAGTGAAAACAGAAAGTGCGAGACATGGGCGGACATGAGAGGATAATACTAAATTATAGTAAACAGGATATAATGGTTTGTACTCATTTATTTATTTAGACATGGAAGACGGTTAATGTATTGACGAGCTGAATTGCCTTAAGATGTTCAGTAAGGGATCTGACCTCGGTTGCACGGGGACTCGGTAACTGGGGGAAAATAACAGTGCAAGAAACAGCTTCCTATTGCAATGCAGAAATTTTTAAATGTATACTATCTAGGCAATGAATTCTAACATGCTTTTGTGCTTACATGAATTATATATTTTTTTCATTAGAAGTTCTAACTTGCGCTGAATTTTGAAAGCAACCTTACTGAGCTTACAAAAGGAAAATTCATAATCCTTGTATTGAACAGAATATTATAATATTTTCCGTTACCTTTTTCAATGCATTGTGATTTTCACTCTTTATACATATACATACTTCTTATTGTCAATGTAGGAAGAAAACTGATTGCAGCGTTAATACGATTATGACTGCAACTGTGTTAAACTACGATGTTTTAGTGAGAAAGGCATTTATGATTTGGGGCAGCTCGACCGAGCATACTGCGCTGAGGGGATTTCAGTTCTTACCTGCTTCTCTTACGTCTTCAGTTTTCACGTCGCAAACTACTTTCGCTTCCTCTTCAGGCACTCTCTGTCCTGCTGACTCGAGATTGTCGGAAGGCACATCTACACACAACAGTCAACACAACATGCATATACAGCCATGCAACGTGCTACAGAAAAGAAACAACAAAAATAAATGTATAGCATATTACACAAAATATTTAGATTTACCATGGAAAAAGGTTTCTTTATATTATATTGAGAGACATTTTATATAAAATGGAAAATATTTGTGCTTGTGTTTATTGTCCTAGAAGTGACGATTTTAGGAATTTCTTAAGGGCAATATTATAATGTTTTTCAAAATGACGTGCTTTTTTTTATGAGATACATTATCTGACTGCTGTCTTACTTTCACTCAACTGTATACATACTAATCCTTTATTTGTGAATGTTAAATGTATTATCAATATGGCGCACATACCTGTAAATGTACCAGTGACATCACAAATGCTTTTTCGGTGTCACTTTTCGGGCTGTTTCTAGAGAGGCCGAATGTGGGATTTTCATACTCTATTCTTCTTTGATATATTTATGGTTTACATCAGTTTTGAATAATTAAGTATAGATTTCCCAAGGTTAAACTCGTAAAAAGTGTCATTTTATATATGGAATGAAATAAGTATATGCTGCCCAGAAGAATCTATGGGGAAACTGGATGAATGCAGATTTTGAAATAGCTCGCATAATATCATGCTTACGGACAGGCCCATATATGGGGGGGGTGCCTAGCAGGTCCATCCGGACCAGACCCCTGGCCTAGGGTTCACTAAATATACCCTTATTTAATTTAAAAATTTGAATCGTTAACAAATTATGTCAAATAAATATGAATACTGTATAAATTATAAAACATTGTAAATATTTTCTTTTACATCGTTCAAACTTTTCTTAAATGACAGAAAGTCTATGTTTTTTTATGTATTAGACATATTCATATAATTGTATGGCTTTTGGAGTATAGTGTGGCCTCACATTTGTGACGTGCCTGGGCTCCATCTTACTTCTATCGGACCCTGATTACAGATGGAATCTAAATTGCAATCACAGGATGCATTCTCATGTTCAGCTTTAGTAAACATACCTGATGTTAAGAACTTCCGAATAGGAATTTAAATAAAATATATATGAGAGATAATATGGAAAATTATGTAGAATCCTGGTAAAATTATAACGTAAACTTCGGTGTGATCGAAGAATCAAAATGTGTTGATGTGAGGGAGAGTCAGTAAATACTTCACAAATAGAAGAAAAACAGCCGTAATTTATGTAATAGGTTTTATATGTGTAACATTAGATAGCACCATAGTGCAGCCTATGTCGGTCTACGTAGCAGACGCAACATTCAGAGGTTGGTTTCAGTGGTCAAAATGGCGACTGTGCTTGAGGAATATACCACCGAAGAACAACGTTCTGTTGCGCGTTTTTGTGAAAGAGGACTCAATACAATTGCTATTTATAAAGAAATATTTTTTGTTTTCGGCGGGAAGTATTTGTCGCGTCAAGCGGTTCACAGCTGGGCCGAGGATCTCTCTCAAGAATGTTCGAAAGTCGCAGATGATAACCCGACCAGGTCGCCCTGTTAAGAGCGCGACAGAAGCAACTGTGCTGCGGATGGAAGAGTTGATTCGAGCTGACAGGAGGATAACGACAGACAGTGTAGCAACTGCACTAGGGTGTTCCCATGGTTTAGCAACACCATAAGGCATGAGCGTTTGAAGTTACGGAAAGTGTGCGCATGGTGTGTGCGCAGAGAAATGATGGACGGAGAAAAATGAAACGAATGGACCTGTTCTTACAACATACCTTACGATATGCAGATGAAGGAGAAAATATGCCTAACAGGACTGTTACTGGGGACTAATCATGGGTGCATCACTACCAACAGGAATCAAACCGTGCTTCAGTGCAATGGAAACATCCCAGTTCACTTTCAACCCAGAAGTTTAAGGTTACGAGTATGCCATCAGCTGGGAAGTTTATGGTTACCGTGTTTTGGGAATCTCAGGGAATACTGTTAGCCCATTCTCAGAAGCGTAGTGAAATTGTAAATCGTATTGTGAAGTTTTGTTGAAGCTTCGATGTGCAAATAGCAGAGAAGTTGCAGGACAACTGGCACGAGGGTTACTGCTTCATCATGACAATGCCAGACCCCATATACCCCGAGTAACCCAGAAGAGAATTCAAGAACTACAGTGGGAATTTTTTGAGGATTCCCCTTACAGCCCAGACTTGGCCCCTAATGACTTCCATCTGCTTAGTCCGCTAAAGAACACCTTGGTGGCAAAAGTTTCGCTGACAAAGAGGCGACTAAAACGGAGGTGCGTAAGTTGCTGAGACAACAGTCAAAAGACTTCTATGCTGCAGGTTTCGGCGCACTGGTAAATCGGTGTGACAAGTGTATCAATGTTGGTGGAAGATATGTCAAGAGTCATATGTTTCTTCCAGGATCGAATATCATGTCTTATGTTTTATTTCCATTTCTGACCTATTTACTGACTCTCTCTCCTCGCATAACATTGGGCCATACCGTCCCAAGACCGCACAATCCTGCATAAATGAAGGCAGTAGGGATTACCGTTAGAGCGCTGACGGGCCTCCTCAAGAACGCATTGCTTGGTCTGCTTGACCATTAGCGTCTCGAAGCGGGCGTCGTCAACAAGGGATCGACGTCTCGCAGGGTAGCCATTCTGAAACAACAAGAGAAAGACACTAATTTCTGAAAGTTTATAACGAATATGCGAAATAATTAGCTCGGTCTGTACGTCCTCTGTCGTGTGCAATAAGACTAGAGGACGGTTAAACTCTTAAAGATATTAAACACAATAGCAATAATCATTAATTACATTGTAAGTTTCTTGTTTCTATCTCAATATGTGTGTACCGTTACGGCACCTTCTTCAAAAGGCAGAGAGGGAGCAATAAATTTCACGTATCAAGTTCCTGTTTCAGCGAGAGGAAAGTTCATAATAATTTTATAAAGTCCTTATGACAATTACTGAGACAAATATTAATTTTGTTTCTATGTATTTAATCTTTGGTTCTTGGTTATATTAATAAACAATTCTTTCTTATTATGTCACTTTGTCTGTTGATTCTAAATAGGCATGAAATGCCAGATTCCAGAGTTTCTCGCTGAAGAAGTCTCATGCTTTGGTCTCCATGATTACTATCTTGTTTATTCTTGCAGGTGATTATCAAATTTGGTATAGAAGACCAGATTAACGGCCGTGAGGAACCGTTGCGCTGACCACGTGACAACCACTATCCGCAAAAGTTGTCACTAACTTCGTCGACAATCGGCGATCGCTCGGTCGGTAGAGTTCTCTTGAGGACTACAGGCCACGGAGTAGGATTGTTAAAGTTTCAGAATACATGCAGCTTTCACTTTCGGAAATAAATGAAGGCAGAGGCAGAGTGTTCCTCCGAAACGTACGTAATGACCCGCCATATGAGAATAAGCAATACCATAACGCTGAGGACCGCAATGCACGGTATGAAATGGTGTCGCTTCAAGATATGGCACGTGGAGTTTTGAAGGGTCTCGAGAGGAAATTCATTTTATTTTCGCACAGTTTTCTTGTTTTAAATACTTTTTTGTTTAGACGATACAAATACATTATCGATAATTCATAAATCACAAAAGGATCTTCAAGGAATATTTGTAAATTTAATGTATTGCCTTATTTACAACTAGTAGCTCATTTGATGACTCATGCCTTGGAACACAATGGCAATTCTCATCTCTGCGCTCTCTTTCGGGTTGATATTTATGGAAACTTTTCTTTTATGATAGTCATTGCCTGGCTATTCACTGGACCTTTCGTAAGCTTCAGAGACCTTCGCGTTGCGAAACCGTCAGAAGTATTTTAAATTGCCGGTATGGGAAGAAACGTCTTACAGAATTGCCCCCTGTCCTTGTATTGACGTGGGGCTTCCTTATCATCATTCGAACTAACCAACCAACTAACCAGCTCAGCTACTAACTAACAAAATAACTATCTAACTAATTACATTCATCTGAGTCATTTTTGAGAAGGCGCAAGCCGCTCTGCTGCTTAAGAAATTCCCAAAATTTTATGGAATCAAAGTTTTCTGGTCCCTGTTGGGAGCCAAATTAATCCAATCAAATCAAACCCTATTTATATAGAATTCGTTTTATTACTGTCTCCCAGCTACTGTTATTTTCATTCTATTTAATTAAAAGTATATGAACTACTGAAGAAGAAAGGAAGATCGCTTTTGTACTGGCAATAGGAGCAGGTGTGTAATATTGTCTAGGTATTACGCCATCCTCTTTAGTTCTCCAACCAACCACGAACGCATATTGGGCTGGGTATGGGACGAGGATTCTGAAGCAAACTAAAAAGAGAACATTTCGTTTTTAAAAAAATATTCTGGTCTTTAGGGACTGTGTCGCAGCAGAGGGAAACACACAATATGATTCTTTAAATTATAATAGTTTAAGAGTGCCACGGTAGGGGGATAAAATCTCATTTCTTATATTTTTGAAGGTTGATGGTCATGTCATGCCGGCAGTAAAGTAAACGGACTGATCCCGTAAAAATACACACTGTCAGTGATATTTAGTGGCTGTGTTCGCTTTCCAAAATACAAAATTTAGACATACTGTCACGTTTCCGGGGTTCCGTGACTAATAATAACTGGTTCAGAATTGGATGATTGGATTTATTGGTACCTTATTTACAATCTCTCTTAATCACAATCAATTATCACGTTATCGCTAATCTACCCTATTCACAAATCACTAGGAGACTGTGACTTCTCAGGTTTTACTAGTCGTATCCTGGCAACGGATTTATAATAGTCTCACTACAACCACGGCCCACACCAAATCTTATCGCAGGCTAACTCCGTTGTATTGCTTACTACTCTTTCTATTCTCATTCTCCCAATTCTAATTCTCCAGTGCCCCTAGCTGCAAAGAGACTCTCGTTATATAGCCTCTGGTCGGGCCCCATGGGAAACACCGTCTTCTCTTGTCGCGTATTATTGTGTTATCTAGCAACGAGTTGTAGCACGGTCCTCAGAGAACACAGCTCCCGTTGTTGTGTGTTCGGTGGAACCTGTATTCTGAGTCGTTGTCTAGCAATGGATATATGCGTCACAGTACATTCCAATGTTCCTTCTATCTCTGGAAACATAGCATGAAATTCTTCTTTCGTTGTTGTCATCTAGCGGTTTACAATTGGGCCCATTGGAGAAGAAATTTTTCTTCAAGAACATGGTAAATGTCAGATTAGGACGAACCAAGCGAGCACGGTGGCTGTTCTAGTATTCATGTTTGTTTATTGGACACTCATCTCTTTATTTAATTACAGTGAGAAAAGATATGGTCATGACACGAAGTCCAATTGTGAGTCGAAAATTCATTTTCGACTAATAGGCTGCCGTGAAGATTCCAGGACTCTGTTTATCGTTATATGGGAACAAATTCGTATTGGATAATTCCTCGTATATACAAATTAAACAGATGAACATAGTTTTGACCTTCATGATTTCGAAACGAGGCTTTCTCACTCTCCGAAACTGGACTCTTCTTCTGACTGAAATTAGCTTTCTGGGTTTTACTGGATGATAGAGTTGTCATCGTCACTCACTCCTTCTTCGTAACCAGTCTTGCATAAAGATTTGAGCAAATTTCTTTTCGCCTCATATTTTTTAAAAACAAAACACTGTGCCGATAAAAGACAAATAAGGCTCAATTCAAAAGATTGTTTCACAAAAATCTGCTTAGCCACACAGTCACGTGATCCAACATGATACAACGCATCCGTCTTGCCATTTAGGTGGACTGCACAATTACATCAGTCCGAATTAAATATCAGACACCCTGTAGCCACCGAATGAACGGAGGGAGGTGTGACGACTGAGTGCAGAGGACAATAAAATTTAGCCTACACGTGTATATATTCCGGTGTCAGTGGACAAAAGAATTTTGGGCAGAACATTTACTGGCATTCTCCCCTATTATTTTTATAATCGCAGCCGCGATAACACAGTCGGTATAGCGACGGGTTACTGGCTGGACGACCGCGGTTCGATTCCCGGCAGAGACAATTTTTCTTCTCCATATCATCCAGACCCGCCCTGGGGCACACTCACTGCACTACCCAGCAGACACCGGGGTCTCTTTCCCCATATGTCTTCTTGGTTTGGTGCTTAACTAATTAAGCACAAGAACAAATTTATCTTAGCATATTATGTATAATTATATTCCTTGCCTGAAAGTGGTCGATTCGTGGAAGACGATCACGTGCTGACCTGTATTATTGTCTATATTAGGACCAGGAAATATTTATGAACAAACTAAACCTCACTCTCCTTTTTTTTCTTCAAGAGGCAGCTTATATAGATATAGCGTTAGCTGTATTAAATGGGTGCTTCTGACAGTTTGAAATTTGTTATGCTAGGGTGCAAGTCTCATTTCCTCCTCTTGAGTGTGCTTCCACCCCTTTACGTTACACACAGGATCTTAAAGATCTCAAGAAGTGGCTACAGGGCAAACAGGTGGTCCAGACTACAAGCAAGTTAGCGGAATGTAGAGACCACCACAGATAAGGGTGCAGCAGGCCAACGGAACGCCATATAGTCTGGTAGATATTCGCCAATATATCGGTCGCAGCTCTTGTTCCGGTCTTCAAGAGAGTCATTTAACATGACGGCAAAAGTTTCCTCCTAAAATTTAATAACGATGTACCAAATTTTACGGTATCACGTCCCAGAAGACTTTAATACCCACAGTCACTACCGTGAGAACCTCATCTCTCGTAATAAACCGTCAGTTTCTATAAAGGGAGGGGAATTTGTTGGCAAGCTGAAGGACTATTAGCTTCTCAAAACCAACTCTTTTTTGTACTATTGGTAGATGCATTTGTGATACTAACATGGAAACATGGCACAGAGCAAATAGATAATATCTGTGATCTAATGTATCCACCAACTTTTGGCTATATTTGATACAGCTCTTGGGTAGAAACACCTCTAATAGCTCAGTCAGTATAGTGACTGGCAAACTGGAGATTCATGTGTGTCAGAGGAAAGACTCTTGTCTGCGCCATCTAATTCAGATCAACCCTGGCTACAGAGTGGACGACCGAGAGGTCGGAATTCGAGTCCCAGTAGGTTCAAGAATTTTCACTCCTCCATATCCTGACCGGCTCTAGGGTTCATGCAACCCTCCTATATAGCGGTACCGGAATCTCTTTCCCGGGGGCGCAGCGGCCAGGGCGTGAAGCTGACGACTCACCTCATATTAGTGCCGAGGTAAAGGAAATGTGGATCTATACATCCACTCCCCCATACGCCTTCATGGCGTAATGCTTAATTAGTTAAGCATAAGGAATATTTTACGTTTTACATTAGCAAAGCGTGTATTTTCGCAGATAATTATCAATGTGTCATAGGAACATGTAGTCTCTGTCTTCATTTCTACCCTGATGACAGAGGCAGTAGATTCCTTCGAAACTTCAGTAAACACACACGATACCACACAGTGCCACGAACTATAAGATCGAAACATAAATCTCCTCCTCCATGAAATCTCATCCGGAATAACTTCGTGTGTCGCATTGGCAGCAGCTGCTGAAGACCAATGTGCACTTAGATATTGATTTCGAACATGACTGTGGCTCCTTCTGGGGGATACCACTGTGCATAGTTTGTCTGT